GGCCCAGGTTTGATCCCCAACCCCCTCCCTCTGGTGCTCCGAGCCCCTCCAGGAGTGAGCCCTGTGCACAGAGCCAGGAGTAAGTCCAGAGCACAGCCAGGTGAGGCCCCAGACACGAGCCCAGGGTTTCGGTAGACATTTCTCTAAGGGGGATCCACAGGCACTGGAAAGAGGCTCGTTAGGAAAACGCAAGTCACGCCACGCAAGGTCTCACCTCCCGCTCCTGCTCCCCAGGGTGCGAGTGTCCCCGAATCAGATACCCTGTGAGGTAGGACGGGGCAGAGGGACTGGTGCAGAGTGTGGGGAGGAGCGTGGTACGCGCTGAAGCCTGTCATTCTTGCTGTAAATCACGGAGCCTCAAACGCAGTTTTTGGTTTTGCTTTTGCTTCTGCTTCTGGAGCCGCACCTGGTGGTGCTCAGGGCTTACTCCTGTCTCTGCTCTCAGGAATCACTCCTGGCAGTGCTTGGGAGGCCACCTGCAACGCGGGGGATTGAGCCCGGGTCAGCCGTGTGCAAGGCAGGCACTCTCCCTGCTGTGCTATGGCTCTGACATAAAGGCGGTTGTTTTAAAACTCAGAATCCAGGTTTTGGAAAAAATCCAGCGGGGAAAACTCTTGCTTGGATGTGGCCCTCCCCGGTGTGACCTTGGCACTCGCCAGAGTGATCCCTGAGCACCGCAGTGGGGGGGGGGGCAAACCTCCCCGCCACCGACAGAGCTGAGTTGGGGCTCCATCTGGGAGGGCGTCGCTACCTGCCAGTATGGACCCCGAGTGATGGGGGGATGGGGTAGGGGCCCCCCTGGAGGAATCTCCCAGAACCCACCTGCGTTCTGGAAGCAGATTTGGGGAAGGAACAGGGGCTGCCCCGAGCCTGCCCCCTACCCCCCTCGTGCAGGGTCTCAGTGGTGGGTGTGACCGCCTGTCTAGCTGAGGGGCTTCCTGGGTGAAGGGAAGGGGCGTGTGTGATTGTGCAGAGCCAGGAGCATCTCCTAAGCACGCCGGGTGTGACCCAAAAAGCAAAAAAAAAAAAAAAATAGCAGTCTCATTGTGACCCAGGGATTTCTTCTGCTTTCCTGCCCTGCCAGTGTTTACTGGGGGGTCCTGTCTGTCACGGTGAATATTGGAGGGGGTCGTGCAGTAGGGCGCGGGGACGGGAGGAACGGCCCGGAGGAACAGCCGGGAGGGAGCGACCAGTGAGCCGGCAGTGGGGCAATAGCGCCACCTTCTGGCTCTCTTACAAACTGCAGCTCTGTGTGGCCAGGCGGGAAGCCTCGCCCTCAGCCAACTTGTGCTTAGTGAATTTGGCCTAGTTTACCTGTTTGTAAAAAAACAAAAAAACTTTTAGGGGATTGGGGAGCTGGAGAGGGCACAGGATTTTATTACAATATAATATCATAGCTTTTAGAGCTAAGAGTTTTCTATCTAGAATAATACAAAAATAGTACTCTTTTTACTTTATCTTGGAAATGAAAGTTTTGGGCTGCCAGTGATAGTGCAGCCGCTCATGCTCTGGCCTTGTGCGTGGCTGACCCTGGTTCGATCCCCAGCACCCCGTCTGGCCCCCTGAGCGCCGCCAGCAGTGACCCAGGGCTCAGAGCAAGGAATAAGCCCTTTGCACCACCAAGGGTGGCCCAGAAATGGCCTCCAAGAGAACAAAAGTATTGTTTCTAATAAGATGAAAAACACAAGATTCAAAAAATTTAAGTTTGGGGCTGGAGCGATAGGACAGTGGGGAGGGCGTTTGCCTTGCACGTGACAAACCGGGGTTCAATCCCCGGCATCCTATATGGTCCCCCGGACACTGCCGGGAGTGATCCCAGAGTACAGAGCCAGGAATAACCCCTGAGCATCTCCCAGTGTGACCCAAAAAGTTAAAAAACAAATTAAGTTAGTCTCTCATATCAGTGATTTGTGTGTTCACAATATAAAAGACAAAATGCACCAAGGTAAGTAGTTTTGCTGTCATCTCATTAATGAATCAGGGGCTGGGAGGCTCAGTGGTGGAGCACATGCCTTGAGCACGTGAGGCCCGAGTCCAAGCCTGACCACTGCACGTTCCCCAGTCCCCCGGGAGTGTCCTTAGTGGCTCTCAGCATTGCTAGGTTAAACCCTTAATTAAAAATCGAAAATTGGGTCAGGAGCCTGAGCGATATTACAGCTTGCCCTGCACAGAGCCAATCTGGGTTCGATCCCCAACATCCCATAGGATCCCTGAGCACCACCAGGAGTGATCCCTGCCCTGAGCACAGAGCCAGGAAGAAGCCCTGAGCACCATCAGGTGTGATGCTTAAAACGAACAAAAGAACTGATGACCATCCCCTGCTTGCTAGGACAGACACAGAGACCGTTCTTTGCACCCGCGCTGACCCGTCCCATGTGGTCACCCCCTTCTGCTCCCTGAGGAGCTGGTGGCCGAGGCCCGGCCACAGGGGCGCTCTGCCAACAGCCTCGGTGCTTTTTTTAAACCGTGATGCACTGGGCTGAGGTTGGGAAACGGGTTTCGGTCTCGTCTTTCTCTGGTCAGGTGACTCCGTGCCTCTTTTGCAGAAGCTGCTTCAGCACCCTCTCCTCCGACCCCGCCTTCCATTTTCTGGGGGTCCTCGCCGGGTGGGCAGCTGTGGGGTGGGGGCACCGCTCAGAGTCCTGCCGATGTTGGCTTTGCCGGGGGCATCGTCTGACCGCCCCCCCCCCTAGGGCCCCTGCAGGAAGCTCCGAGTCACTTGTGCACCTGTGAGTTCTGCAGATCCGGGACTTGCTGCCGGCCCCCGCCTGGTGTCATCGCCCTGTTCCCGTGGGCCTGGGGAACAGCGGCCCCGTATGTCGCCTAGCAGAAAAATCGCCCATTTTTTCTTTCTGCCTGAGAACGTTGGTGTGCGCCGTCTGGGGCTGGGAGGGTTCGCGCCACTGTGAGTGGGTAGGTGGTAGATTTGCCACTGCCACCATTCAGCAAGGGGCAGTGACACTTGCCGTGTCTCCATGCTAGAAACCTTCGTGGCGCTTTCTGCCAGGTATCCTTGCCTGTTTTCCTTTCAGCTCTTGGAGTTTTACTCATTTACCCGTAGAAGCTTTCATAAGGGAAATCCGTTCATACGGTAAACACCGGCCAGTGCTTTCTCGGCATTTGCTTTATCGTGTCCTTTCACCTCTGCCTTTTTGTTTTTAGTGCTCAGGGATCACTCCTGGCCGTGCTCCGGGGACTCCGGGTAGTGCTGGGAGTTGAACGCAGACAGGCTGCACACAAGGCAGGTGCCTCGCCGCCTCTCCTTCCTGCCCTCCCTCTGGCCCCTGTCGTTCTCTGCAGAGACAGAACTAGCAGACCCGGGTGTTGATAGACCCGCACACGCCTCTCTGTAGACACACGTGCGTTTTGGGGTTTGATGGGCGTTTTCTTCCTCGACGACTGCTTGATCTGGTTCCTGCTGGAAAGGTTGTCCAGGGTGGAGACGGGGACGTGGCTGGGGGTAGGGCCCAGACCTCGCAGTGGGGGGCCAGGGGGGGTGAGTCTCTGACACTGGATCACCACCGCCACCCCCGCCCACAGACGCAGAACACCCCACCCTGTGACTCTGCCGGCCCTGGCCCCCGAGAACCACTGGATCTGACTCTGCAACGACTCAGTAAAGGTTCTCATTATCCTGGGATTCTTAAATCCCTTGAGTGGGATTTAAGAATCCCAGACGTGCGAGCTTCGGAACCGAGTACTCCAAAGTGTGATGACCCCCGTGTTCATTTGACTTGGACTTGGAGAGGGGTGTCAGCGATGGTTCCAGTTGGTTCTTTTTCCAGGTGGTTGCCCCGTGGTCCCCTACCCCAGTCTCACTGACGGATAATAGCACCCCCCCCTCGCCACCACGCAGAGTCGTCCCGTTCTGAAGCTAGACCCAGGCGGATACATTTCTGTTGGGACCCAGGTCTTTTCCGGAACCTTCTTACCTCACTGTTTCTGCCTTTTTATTCAGAGCAAACCACTCGAGGTGCGTGGTGGCCACTGCAGGGCGTCCTTGGACCCGCCTGCCTTGTCCCGGGGCGCATGTCTCACCTGGGTGGCAGCAGTTGTTGTGGGACGTGTGGTCCTTGATGCTGAGCCTTGCCGGTACTTTAAGGACCTGCTGGTCCAACCCCGAGACACCAGCGTCAGCCCCGTCTGCCAGCTGTGGGTTCCCATCTCGCCGTAGGTTTCCTTGGCATGCAGAAGCATTGGCGGCGTCTCAGACAGCCCCTCCGTGTGTGTCTTGTCCTCGTGGCCTGAGCTTTTGTCCAGATTAAAATAAACAGTATCCAGGAGCTTCCTACCAGAATGTCCTTGAAACTCCGAGGGGAGCTTAAACAAGACGCGGTTATCTGTGTTGGGTGTCTGTGTGTCTCTGTGTGTGTGTGTGTGTGTGTGTGTGTGAGAGAGAGAGAGAGAGAGAGAGAGAGAGTAGGAGGGAGGCAGTACAGGAGAAGGCTTGGCGTGTGCTCCAGACCTGGGTTCTGCAGAGCCCTGCCTCTTCCCTCACCGTCTGTCTCTTGGATTCAGTCCAGCAGCACCGTGTCCTGGAAGTGCCCCCGCACCCCCCCACTGCACCTGGGTGGGGGGGCGCCGTCCCACCTTCCTGCCCAGACTGACAGCTTTGCCGCATTTCCCCACCCTTGGGATGCCAAGTCAGCCCCTAACCTTGGTTTTATTGTTGTTGTTTGCTTTTGGGGTCACACCCGGCAGTGCCCAGGGCTGACTCCTGGCTCAGTGCTCAGGAATCACTGGGATGCTGGGGATTGAACCCGGGTCAGCCGCGTGCAAGGCTAACGCCTTCCCCCTGTGCTCTCGCTGCAGCTCTCGCCCACTCTTGCTCGTCCATCACACATGGCAGGTTTTCCCGATGTCTGAGCTGGCCTGGGCTCCCCCAGGCCGTTTTCAGGGAGCACTTGAGCCGAGCACCCTGGCTCCCACACTGCTGGCTTCCTGGGGCTGGGTCGTGCCACTCCTTGGATGTTCGTTGATCTCCTTTCTCTCTCCTGCAGGCGTTCGGCGGTGACTCTGCGCTCTGGCTCCACTCAGCACAATGATGAAGGTAGGGGGTCCTGCGGGGCCCAGTTCATCTGCACCCCGATGTCTGGCGGGGGAGGGGCGGTGATTAGCAGTCGGCTGCCTGCATGGTTCTCGGAACCTCAGTGGCCCTGTGGTCGCCATAACACCTATCCCAGGCCCCAAAACACGGCAGACAGGGAGAGTTCCGTTGTACAGCGAAGGGCAAAATCAGGGAGTGGAAATCCATAAGTTTTTTTTTCTTTTTTTGCTTTTTGGGTCACACCCAGCAATGCTCAGGGGTTCCTCCTGGCTCTGCACTCAGGAATGACTCCTGGCGGTGCTCAGGGGACCATATGGGATGCCGGAGATGGAACCTGGGTTGGTCGCATGCAAGGCAAACGTCCTCCCCGCCGTGCTCTCGCTCTGGCCCCTCCATAACTTTTTTTGGACAGGTGGTAGGTGGTGGAGGGTTGTTTGGGCCACACTGGCTGTGCTCGGGGCTTCCTCCTGGTGGGGATCAGGGCACCGTATGCGGTACCAGGGGAGAAACCCGGGTTGGCTGCTTTTAAAGCCAGCAACCCTACCCACTGCACTATCTATCCGGCCCCCAACTCCCTTATGAACACCCACTCCGGGAAACGGAATGGAGAGCACATATAATCCAAACACACAAACAAAAACAAGCTTAGAGAGAAAAACATGCGTGAGAATCAGAATTAAAAACGTGGTGCCCCCGAGAATGGTGGTGAGGGGGCAGGGGGCGTCAGAGGACCCAGGGCCTACTGTGAAAAGCCTGTCCCCTCAAGCCCAGCCGCACCGCGGGCACCCCTCAGGTACTTGATGGCTTGAGCAATGACCTTGCAGAGGAGTGCTGGAATGGGACTGGCTGCCTGGCAGAGCCCCGGCCGCATGTAGGGGGCGCTGTTTCCTTGGCCTTCCACTTCCGGTCAGGGAAGCACCCCTGCCCCCTCCCCCTGCAGCCACTGCCCCAGTGGTCACTTCCTCCCCTCTCAGATGAGCAGCAGCAACCCTGGCACTGGGCTGGCACAAAACCCAGCCCGACTTCAGGACCTGATTGTGCCCGGGTACACCCTCCGTCTCCAAGGGAGGTGCAGGTGGCCAGGGTCAGCGGGTGAGATCACATCCACCCGCTTTGTGGGGGAGGGGCGCTGACCAGCCCAGGATGGCGGCAGGAGGCCCCGTCCCAGCGCCCCCCAGCGTCGGTTTGAGTAGGAGAAATGGCCTGCGCTCTTGGTCCGTGCAGTGACCGCTGGCCAGGTGGACACGATTCAGGAGAAATGCCATTGGTTGTTTCTCACTGCCTTTTGGGGGGACCTGGAGCATGAGGCGACTGTCACGCAGAGTCACTGGGGAAGAGAGAAATAACTGGGGTCTAAACTGAACCCCCAAAGAGGAGGAATCACATGTTGAGCAAAAGCTGTTTTTAATAACTTTTGAATAAATGCAACTCAGCACGCTGTCCTGGGGAATGATTACTATGGGATGGGACTCAGGAATACGGTGGGGCCGGAGAGATGGCCAGGGCGAGGCCTGGCCTTGTACGTGGCCGGGGGTGAGTCTCCAGCACCACTTCTAGACCCCCAGACACTCTCCAGAGTGATCCCTGAGCAGAGTCCGGAGTAAGCCCTGTGCACGGCCAGAGATGGCCAAAACCTCCCTCCCTCCAAAACCATTACATGCAAGAAATTGGAACCACATTTATTGAGGACAGTTCAGGGCTATCTCTAAAAATATTCATTGTTTGGCCTTGCAGGTTCAATCCCCGGCATCCTATATGGTAGCCCACGCTCTGCCAGGAGTAATTCCTGAGCGCAGAGCCAGGAGTCAGCCCTGAGGATCACCAGGTGTGCCCTAAAAACAAAATAAAAAAAGTAAAAATGCATCGGCTGTTCGAAGAAGTCCACGTGCTTAGCCTACATGTGTGTAAAGTTATTTATGAGACGATTGTTTATAATGGCAGAAAAACCCAAACCAACCCCAAAACACGAAGAAAGCAACTAGAAACCCAAATTTCAACAAGAGGGATTGGTTAAATAATGTTTTTGTTTGTGCATCCGCATATTTGAGCATTTATAAAATGAAATAAAGCCCTGGGACCAGAGAGAATAGTGGGCAGGTCACTTGCCGTGCCCATGACAGAACTGGGTTCAATCTCTGGCACTCCGTATGGTCTCCCCAAACCCTGCAGGAGTGACCCTGAGTGCAGGGCCAGGAGCATGCCTTGAGCACCACTGGGTGTGATCTCCAAATCCATCCTCCAAACTAAAAGGAATATTCTCTTTGTTCTGATCCGGCAAGAAATCAGTGCTCACAGAAAACATGATGACCAGAATGGAAAGACCCTCCACAGACTAGGAGAAAATATTTGCTCTTCCATCTGATGAGCGATAGCACAGCGGGTGGGGCGTTTGCCTGGCATGCAGCCAACATGGCCGACCCGAGTTCAATTCCTCCACCCCTCTCGGAGAGCCCAGCAAGCTACCGAGAGTATCTCGCCCGCACGGCAGAGCCTGGCAAGCTCCGCGTGATGTGTTCGATATGCCAGACACAGTAACAACGAAGTCTCCAATGGAGACGTTACTGGGCCCGCTCGAGCAAATCGATGAACAACAGGAGGACAGTGGCAGTAACAGTGACATCTGATGAAGGGTTAATTTCCAGGATAGATAAAAACATATATATAAAACTTAACAAGAGAACAATCGCACAGTGCAATCCAAAACTGGGGAGAAGAAGTGAGCAGAAGCTGCCTCAAGGAATAGATCACTGTCACTGTCACTGTCCTCTCGTTGTTCATCGATTTGCTCGAGTGGGCCCAGTAACGTTGTGAGACTTGTTACTGTGTTCGCCTGAGAGGGGCGGAGGAATCGAACTCGGGTCGGCCACATGCAAGGCAAACGCCCTACCGCTGTGCTATCGCTCCAGCCCAAGGAATAGATACGGAGGCTAATAGATACAAGGGGAATGCTCAGCATCTCTTAGCAGTAGGGAAATGCAAATGAGGACAGGTAAAGTCACCTCACACCAGTGAGAGGAGAGGGGCACATATCACAGAGAAACAAAATCAAGCAGTAGTGGTGTGGATGCAGGGAAAAGGGGCCCTCGCCGGCACTGCTGTGGGAATGGGGCGCGGGCCAACCCTTTTGGACAACAATGCGGACACATCTCAGAAAACTAAGAAGTGAGGTTCCATGTTGGGACCCCATAATTCCACTCATTGGTATCCGTCCCTGTAAGGGCCCAGAAACCGTTCAGAAAAGGCGTCTGCAGGGCAGCACTGCTCACAATAGCCCAAATCTGGAAACTGTCCAAGTGTCCAAGAACAGATGGCCGGGTGAAGAAACTGTGATGTCCACACCACACGCACGCGCGCGCGCGCACACACACACACACACACACACACACACACACACACACACACACACACACACCCCAGAATCTCCTTGGCCAGAAGAAAAGACAAAGATCACACAGTTGACCACGCCATGGATGGCTCTGTCGAGTTTTGCTGAGTGATATCAGCCAGGAGAACAGATCGGGAGGAGCTCTCCTGGGTGGAAGACAAAGAAGCATGACAAGGGTGTAGCCTGGGACCACAGGGATAGTACAGTGAGGTGAGGTGCTCACTGACCTGGGTTCGATCCCCGCATCCCACATGCTTGCCTGAGTACTGCCAGGAGTGATTCCCGTGTGCAGAGCCAGGAGTAAGCCCTGAGCCTCCCCGGGTGTGGCCCCCAAACAGACAACAAAACTATTGTAAATGTGGGTTCTGTACGACTGTGGCCAAGGTCAGAGCCTAGCCCTGCCCCTCGCCACCGCCCCACCCCCCTCCAGGTGAGGCCATTTGCTCTGGTGACGCCGTCACCCATATTTCATCTTTTTTGGTTTGGTTTGGTTTTGGTTTTGGTTTTGGTTTGTAAAATGACAGGGTTGAAAATAAAATTTTTATTTTAATGAATCAAATAAAATGAATAAAATAAAATCTTTATTTTAATGAAAGACAAGGGCAGCAACGAACAGAATTATCCCCTGGAGGAGTCTCAGCACAGCGTGAGATTTTGTAGACAAATGAACAGAGATGACTAGGAATGAACTCTGCTGATGTGAAAACTTCCTTTTCTTAACCACGGGGCGATTTTTTTCCTTAAAAATGATATTAAGTAATGTCAAGTACACATTCACACACAGACAACTGAGCCATGTATTTCTTTTTTATCGGATCGCCATGAGCGACACTTACAAAGCTTCCATGTTTGAGTTTCAGTCATACAATGGCTGAACGCCCATCCCTCCACCAGGATGCGTTTCTCCCACCAATGTCCCCAGCATCCTCCCCGCTGTCCCACCTCCCCAGCCTCTATGACAGTTTCCCTCTTTCTCTCTCTCTACTTACGGGCATTATGGTCTGCAGTCCAGATACTGAGAGGCCGTGATGTTTGGTCCTCTATCTGCTTTAGCACACATCTCCCATCCCGAGCCATATTTCATCTCGACCCGGGTGTGCAGGGGCCTGTGAGTGTGAGGGTCCTTCTGTTCTGAATCGCGCGGTTTCCTTCACCGCTGCCTTGCGTTTGATCGCTCCCTTTTCTCTTCTCAGACTCGTGTGGGGTCAGTTGAACATTTTAGGCCTGCATGTTCTTAGCACCATACTTTGTCAATTCATATTTGCACCCAGTGATAATTTTAACTCACCTAGTGGCTGGGTGCGGGGCTGGTGTCACTCAGCCTGCGTCGAGGTGGGAGGGAGGCTTAGTTCCAGCAGCATATGGCCAACGGAGAATGGCATCCACATGGTCATTTGTGAGAAGTGAGTTGCATGGCTTCAAAACTGGCAGTGCTGCCTGATTTAAGGAGCTTTCTGCAGGGATCTTGGCCGGATCTTGAAATGAGACTTATTCTGAATCTGGGTGGTCTCTCAGAATGGCGTTGCGTTGAGTGGGAATACGTTTTCTCTTTTGGATTTTCACTTCCAACACTTGATTTAGAAAAATTAGGTCTGTTGTAATCCTGTAAATGAAAGTCTCTCTTTTCCTGTAAAAGTATATCTAGGAACATAACATTTATCTGTTGTGGGAGGAATTTGACTTTGGCAAATTTTCTTGGTGAAATACAAGTTTATGTCTAGTTGTCCTTTAGTATTGAGGTTGTCACTTTTATCGATGTACTGCATTCCAAAGTGAGTTAACTTCACAAATCACAGTACTGAAATCATTGGCTTCTCATTAACAACCTTTCTAATGGATAGAATTAAGTTCAAATCTGAAAATTAGGGGCTGGAGAGATAACACAGCAAGTAAGGCGCTTGCCTTGCATGTGGCTGACCCAGGCTCAATCCCCGGTATCCCATACGGCCCCCAAGCACCTCTAGGAATGATTCCTGAGTGCAGAGCCAGATGAAACACCTGAGCATCACTGGGTGTGGCCCCAAAACAAAATCAAAAGACTGAAATTGCCTTCACAAATTTACTAAGACTGCAGTAGAATCCCTAAGAGTTCTGGGACCTTGAGTCACTATGCCCAGATTTTGTGAAAATTGTTTTGAGAAGTCAGGTCATTTTTGTTGGTTGATTTCCAAACATTGTGGGGGGAAAATGTACAGATAGATATATAGATAGACCTCTGAAATATGTAAATATATATCTCTGGACTTTTTTGGGGGGGCGGGGGGGGACTGGAGCGATAGCACAGCGGGTAGGGCATTTGTCTTGCACACAGCCAACCCGGCTGACCCGGATTGGATTCCTCCGCCCCTCTCGGAGAGCCCGGCAAGCTACTGAGAGTATCTCGCCCACGGCAAAGCCTGGCAAGCTCCCCGTGACATATTTGATATGCCAAACACAGTAACAACAAGTCTCACAAAGGAGACGTTGCTGGGCCCACTCGGGCAAACCGATGAACAATGGGAGGACAGGGACAGTGACAGTGACGGTGGACTTTTTTTCAGCCTGAATAAGCAAACAAAGACACTGACAAGAATCAGCTTTGCCTTATAACTCTGACATATTCCATAGATGTGCCGGCAATAAGGCAGTTAATGGGTTTCTTCAAGTTTCGTCTTGTCTACTATTTTCAAACCTTAACGTTTGGTGAAATTAAATGCAGCCCATCATACAGTTTTCCCCCAATAAAATGTAAAATAAATTACATTTACGTAAATTCTTTACATAATTTATTATAAGCAAGGATGCTGATGATAAGCCCTTTTCTGCTCACACTGGGATGGAGACTCTCACTTCTGCCTCTGGAAGTGATACCTACTCCCCTCTCCAGTCTCTGTGGCCAGGTCATAATAAAAAGAACTACCATGATTATTAAAGGATGCAAACCATTAAAATTTGCGTAGATAGCTAATTCTACAAATACTTCTGTAGAAAATAAACAACCACCAACAGGGGTCAGAGTGATAGTATAGCAGGTGGGGCATCTGCCCTGTACACGGTTCAATCCTGCGTGGTCCCCCGAGCACCCCCAGCTCGACTCTGGGGACAGCCAGGAGTAAACCTGAGTGCCACCAACCATGACCCCCTCACTCCCCAAGAAAGAAAGAACTGCAAGGGGCATGATGATTTGTCCCGTATGAAATTTTGAGGGATTCTTAGGGTTTTGTAAGTTATTCTTTTGTTTGGAATTTTTGCCATAGTAATTTCATCTTCTGTTATATTTTGAGCATGTTTATGAGATCTCAAGTCAGGTAGGCTTTAGAAGAGCATGAATCTGAGGCTCTGCACTGTAACCCCGGCATTGCCGTATCCACGGTTGGCCAACTCAGCTGGACAAGCGGCTTCAGGTCTCTAAGGCGCTGCTGTATCATCGTGGAAGGGAAAGTGGTAACAATACTTACCTGGGGGCTGGAGCACAGTGGGTAGGGCCTTTGCCTTGCACTCAGCCAACCCGGGTTCGATTCCCAGCATCCCATATGATCCCCCGAGCACCCTCAGGAGTAATTCCTGAACGCAAAGTCAGGAGTAACCCCTGAGCATCACGGGGTGTGACCCAAAAAGATTAATAATAATAATAATAATGATAATAATCATACTTACCTGGCAGTGCTCTAACAGAAAGAGTAAACATAAATCTTCTAATGGTGTTTGGAATCAGAGCAGTAGCAGAGATGTTAGGGCATTTGCCTTGTAGGTAGCCAGCCTGAGTTTGATCCCCGACATCCTATATGGGCTCCCAAGAACTACCTGGAGTAATTCCTGAGTGCAGAGCCAGGAATAAGCCCGGAGTACACCTGCATTTTGCTCAAAGGCCAAAAAAAAACCTTTCAAACTTCATTTAGGATCATGTAAATTACTAAGAGGTATGCCAGTTGCATGAGATCAGAGATATGTGGGAAAGAGCGTAGCATTCATCCCCTAAGAAAAAAGATATAGGACACTCTCATGTTTTTAATAATGAAAAATACATATTAATTAATACCACTTAACAAAAGTTAGCAGGCCAAAAAAAAAAAAAAAAAAAAAGCACTGAAGGAAATGATACCAGAAACTTACTTAACCCAGCCTCTGAGTGGTGAGATTATGGCTGATACTTTTCCTGGCTTCACTCTTTTGCATCCTTCCCAAAGTTGGAGATACAAACCAGTATTTTTTTAAATTAGTATTTTCCATTTACATAGGCAGGCTTTGGGCCAACGTCAGTTTCCTCTTTTCTGCAGATGTCCAGGGCCTGCAGACCCTGATTTATTCTGCTTTATATTTTTCATTCTTCTCTCTCCACGAGTACTTTCGCTTTCCTGCCTGGATGTCGGTGAATGGAGCCGCAGCTTGAAGGGCTTTGTGGCTTAAGCCGCTGAATGGATGTCGGCCAGGGAGGGGCTGGGTTCGAGACCATCTGTGCTCAGTGTATTGTCTGAAACGCCACTGGAGGTCACAGCAGATGGCAGGGTCACAAACACTGACTTTTGAAGCTCGACATAATGTGTTCATGAAACTGGAAGGAGACTTACTCTTCCCTCCTCGGTCCGCAGAGGAGGTTGGTGACAGAAGGGTGGCCTTTGTTGCGCCCGGCCAACACAATGGCTTTATCCTGAGAATCACCTGACAGCTCGAGATGGCAATTTCTCGAACCATCCAGTGCCGTGCACTTTGATTCTGTAGACACTTGGTTTAAAGTATCTATTTCAAATAATTTGGATAGACAACGTAAAAGAAAGGCAAAAGTTTTTGTTTTTTTTTTTTTTTGCTTGTTTAATACTTAGAATTGGATGTTTTAAATGAAAAGGTTGTACTTCTGTCCTTTGAAGCCAGTGCATTCATTTTTAATGGAATGATTTCCGTGACAATCCTCTTGCCTTTATTTTTAAACTTTTTTTGGGGGGGGTCACACCCGGTGATGCACAGGGTTTACTCCTGGCTCTGCACTCAAGAATTACTCCTGGCGGTGCTCAGGGGACCATATGGGATGCTGGGAATCGAACCCGGGTTGCCTCGTGCCCTGCCCACTGTACTATCTCTCCAGCCCTAATCCTCTTGCCTCTTGATGGCATTTATCCTCACGTGCTGTTTTGGATCGTTCAAATGGCTCGGGAAGGTTTCTTACTCAGTCCTCCCATAAATCAATGAATGGAGGGCTTGCTTGTGAATGAAGTTAATTTTAGAAGTGTTTTTCTTAACCCTGGTTAAACGTTTCTGTTTCTATTTTAAGGAGGACCTTATGCAGTATGTTTCTCTTCTGCTCCCTATGGTTGGTCTTATTTATTTTGGAAGAAGAAGCCTTAAGTTCCCCTAAGAAATCGGTGGCCTCCCCCGACCCCTGCCCCAACATTGTGCTCGATCGTGTTCTTGTCACTCCCCATCTCACTAACTTGACGCACTCTTCCTGTTTTGCAGATGGAGAGAGGGAAGCGCAGAGAGGTTCAGGTAAGTTTTCCCAAGAAGTCCACACACGCCGGCCGGCCTCAGACATTGATCGTTTAGGTCACCTCGAGGGGCTCCAGCGTGTCGAGACCTGGGAGGGGGCTCGGAGGGGGCACAGCCGCCACCGTGGCTTCTGTCTAACGCCTTCATGGACTCGAATGGCCAAGGATGAGTTTCCCCGTCAGTTTCCCACTCGTGCACGATAGGATGCTGCTGCTTATGGCCCCGCCCTGGGAAAATTTCCTCCCGTTTGATTTGAGTTTAAGTTTGACAGAGTTGAAGAGCAATAGTACAACGGGGAGGGCGTTTGCCTTGCATGCGCCTAGCTCGGGTTCGACTCCCAGCATCCCCTAAGGTCCCCCGAGCACCGCCAGGAGTAATTCCTGAGCGCAGAGCCAGGAGTCACCCCTGAGCCTTGCCGGGTGTGACCCAAAAAAGAAAAGAAAAAAAAATGAGCGACGGAATTTAGCAATGAGGCAGATGCAGAGATAAACAAGCCCTACCATTCCAGCCATACTTTCGACCTGAAAAAATGGGGTGAGGAGCCATGGACAGCGGAGTTGGGTCAGCAGCGTCCCCTTATCTTTCGCTGATGAGAATCAGGTGCCTGGTCAGCCCACCCGAGAGGGCGCCTGGGGCTCAGTGCCTGCAGCTGTGGCCGGGGCCTCTGTCAGCTTCCCCTGCTGAAGGGGGGAGACGCTCGCGGGGGGCACAGCGTCCCTCCAGCTCGTTTCTCCTCTGGTCATGGGTCCAGGTCATCACTTGGGATCGCGGTCTGTGGTTACAACCCGCAGCATATCACCAGGCCGTCTGAAACATGGAGAATTTCCCTTGTAAGTTAAGTAAGTCGGAAGGGTGGTCCGAAGTGTTCGTGCTCACGGGGTGTTTGGTGATTTCCACTGGAATGAGGTGTTGAATTTCCTCTCTCCCCCACGCCCTGCCTGCCCCTCCAAAAACAACCAGCCAACCTCTTCTCAGATGCAGATGCCAAGGGGGGGAGGTTAAGAGCACTTCAAGGTCGCAGAGACCAGGGGCGAAGCTGCAGCCCCGACATGCCCTTCTCCGCCCCTGCCCCTTCCCTGCCCACCTGTCCTGGCACCTCAGCACCCACTGTGATTGTTTTTCTGTGTCATTCATTCTGGGGGTCACTTGCAGCCATGCTCGGGGATCACCAGTGCTCCACCCCACAAACCCCTGGCCCCTCGTTCATGAATTCTATTTTTTTTCTTTTTGGGTCACACCCAGCGATGCTCAGGGGCGACTCCTGGCTCTGCACTCAGGAATTACTCCTGATGCTCAGGGGACCATATGGGATGCTGGGAATCGAACCCGGATCGACCGCGTGCAAGGCAAACGTCCTACCTGCTGTGCTATCACTCCAGCCCCGCATTCATGAATTCTTGATTTGCTTTTTTTCCCCCTTTGAGTTCTCACTGATTTTGCTTTCTGAAGGGGTGGGTTTGGGGGCCCTCCTCTGGTGGTTCTCAGGGGCTCCTCACAATTTGACGCTGGGCGTTGCTCCCTTGCAGTGCAGTGCTCAGGAGGGACCATGTGGTGCTGGGAGCTCAAACCCAGGGCTCCCCCATGCAGTCTCCCTGCAGCCCTGAGCCTTCTCCCAGCCCCTCACTGACCTTTCCAAACTTTTTAACTGGTAACTTAATGAACAAAAGGAAATCATAAAATTGCCCGTAATCACCATTTCAGCTTCACTTCGCAAGTTGTAGCATTTTTTCCTCCTTGTCATTCTGTTCTGACAGTTGCTATTTTGCTGGTTATAAATTGATGGTTTTCTAATGCCATCAAAGGATTGAATTAGACAATTCCTCTTTATTGTTCTGCGTTCTTTTGCCAAGACCTTTCCCTTTGTCCTCATCTTCTTAATCAGTACAGATTCCTGGATTATTTTATTCAGTGAATTTATCGTTCGTTATTAGTATATACTTGAGGGCTCCATTCCCACGAGATGTCACTTTTTAAAGCCTGTGGTTGGCTCCATTATTTTTTCTCAGTCTTTATTTTAGGCACGATAGAGTATTCCAGATGTGCCCCCGCATGTCTCCTGCCGCAGTCCTCGCCTGCGTTTCCTGTCAGACGCCTCTGCATTTTTTTCTGTGCCTGTCTAAAGCCGCACAGCACATTCCGAAGGCCATTTTTTTCATTATGTGTTTTTTTTTTTCATTTTGTTTTGTTTGGGGGCCACACCTGGCAATGGAGGGGCCACTCTTGCTAGTGCTCGGGGGACACATGGGATGCCGGAGATCGAACCCGCCGACCCAGCGCAAGGCCGATGCCCTCCCCGCTGTACCACAGCTTCTGCCCCCATTCTTCCTCGCTTGTGAGCGGAGTTGCTTTGGACCTAAGGATGAACTTCTCTTAACCTCTCCCCCCATTTTTGTCTTTGAGCGTGAGGATTAAAATGCTGCCTGGGGGGGCTGGAGCGATAGCACAGCGGGTAGGTCGTTTGCCTTGCACATGGCCAGCCCGGGTTCGATTTCCAGCATCCCATAGGGTCCCCTGAGCAAGGCCAGGGGTGATTCCTGAGTGCAGAGCCAGGAGTAACCCCTGTGCATCGCCGGGTGTGATCCAAAAAGCAACAAATAAAAAAATAAATGCTGCCTGGGGGTCACTTCGATAGTACAGCAGGGAGCGCGCTTGCCGCGCGCACAGCCGACCTCCCGTTCAATCCCCCACATCCCGTCTGTTACCCTGGTGCTGCCAGGAGTGATTCCTGAGTGCAGAGCCAGGAGTAACCCCTAAGTATTACTGGGTGTGACTCAAAAAGCAAAAAAAAAAAAAATACAAATTAGTAGGGGCTGGAGAGCTAGCACAATGGGTAGGGCATTTGCCTTGCATGCGGCCGAACCCGGTTCGATTCCCCACATCTCATCTGGTCCCCTGAGCACCGCCAGGAGTAACTCCTGAGTGCAGAGCCAGGAGTAACCCCTGTGTGATCCAAAAGGCAAAATAATAATAATAAGTAAAAAAAATGCTGCCTATATCGTATTGTTGTGAGGAGGAAATTAAATAAAGAAGATGCATGTTGCATGGTAAATAAGACATGAAGGGTTTCTGGCATTATTTTGACATTTCTTTTCCCTCTTTTCTCTCTTTAACAGATGTTCTTTTAAGAAATCATTGAAGACGAAAGCCTTTTTTTATTACTGTTGTTGTTTTTTAATGGCTTTACAGAATTTTAAATTGAATGCAGTTTGACATGACGGCAAAAAATGTAAGTATCTGTGAACTTTAAAAATCTAAGGATTTGTACAGCAAGCTCTTCTTTTCCTTCCGCGTTCTGATTGGCTGAACCCCATTCCTGCACGGGGTTCATTCGCTAAGGGCTTCGTGGGTGCCCCGGAGGAGGGAACTTGAAGGCCCTCCCGCGCCACTAAGATGGGCCCTGGAGGACCATGTTTGCTAATTGTGCACTTCCCTTTCTCATCAGCTGCAAAATGAGCGCCCCCCAAAGTTCCCCCCTCCTTTTGAGATACCAAAATAAATTTGTTTTGCCACTTGTTGGAGGATGCTTTGGCTCTTTGAAGAAACCTGTCCTTTCTTGTTTTTTTTTTTCTTTTTCTTTTTGAGTCACACCCAGTGATGCACAGGGATTACTCCTGGCTCTGGCTCTGCACTCATGAATTACTCCCAGTGGTGCTCAGGGGACCATATGGGATGCTGGGGATCGAACCCAGGCTGGCCGCGTGCAAGGCAAACCCCCTACCTGTTGTACTACAGCCCCAGGCCCGTAACCTGTTCTTTCTCCAGCATGTTTTGTTTTTTTCTTTATCCTGGGCATTTCTGCCTTGGGGATATGTGTCTCCACGGCCCTCACTCAGGACAGTCTTGCCCTGTCTCCTTCGTCACCTGGTTCCGAGAGGACATTCGACGTGAGGCGTGGGGGAAGGCGTTCCAGCTTGAGGCGGCCACCTCGGAATAAGCTTCCTTTGGGGCTGTAGCCTCGATTGTTAGCCTGTGTCAGTAATATCCGTGTCCAGGTGGGGTGAAGCTGCCCAGATAGGCCGGACGCGGGTCCTGAACGGGCGCCTTGTAGTGGCCTGGCTGTCATCCACTTTGGATGTCACCATGTTGGCACTCTAGGAGCCAGTGTTGGCCACCCTGCCCCCAGAAGGGAGGAATTTTGCCCAAAACTTAGGCCAAAAGGTGGGGGCGTCTCAGGAAGACCCGGGTCCAGGAGCCTCAAATCTCGCAGCCTGGGGAGCCGGACGGTCGGCGTCCCCTTTGCCCTGCTGCACCTGCCCCGTTGCTGCGTCTCAGCAGAGCGCTTTCCTCTACCTGCAGCCGGGCGTCCCTCCCGGGGCCCAAGGCTGGCCTGTGGAGAGGGCGGGGAGGCCGCGCTCGCTGGAGACGCTTGGGAGGGAGCCCTGGCAGTGTCCAGGCGGCACGCATCAGTTTGGTGGGTTGTGATCAGGAGAGGGAAAAAACGCTGTGTGTAAGCCAAGCCCATGTCTGGTCACCTGGGCACCCCTGGGAACAGCCCCTGAGCACTGCGGGGTGGAACCAGTAGCCCCCTCCCTGGCGCAGGTGTCACACCTTGAAGGCCTTGTTGGGACCAGAGCGATATTACAGCGCGTAGGCGTTTGCTTTGCTCCCAGCTGACCCGGCACCTCCAGGGTCCTCCAAGCACCACCAGCACCTCAATCCCCGGCACCTCCAGGACAGATCCTGAGCCAGCTGAGAATAAGCCCTGAGCGCTAATGGTTCTGACCCCCAAAGCCATTTAAAAAACAAAAGGAAAAAACAAAAACGAGAACTGGAGCGATAGTACAGCAGGTAGGTGTTTGCCTTGCACGTGGCTGACCCGGGCTCGGTCCCCCAGCATTACATACGGTCCCCCAAGCACCACCAGAATTAATTCCTGAATGCAGAGTCAAGAGTAACTCCTGAGCATCAATAAGTGTGACCCAAAAAGCCAAAAATACCCAAAAAGACAAAACCACAAAATAACCACCTGGATTACACCCTGGCTCGTTTTGCAAAATGTAGGTCTGCAGAGGGAGCTGGAGTGATAGAACAGTGGGCAGGCCGCTTGCCTGGCTTGCAGCTGACCTGGTTCGATCCCCAGCGTCCCCCGAGCACTCAGGAGTGACCCCTGAGCATCGTCAGGTGTGGCCCCAAAAACAAGGGTTAAAAAAGGCTGGGTCAGCGGAGTTGGCAAATGCGGCTCTTGTATCTAAGGACAAAATTGTCATCAATGGCATCCAGTATCATTGCCCTGATGGTCCCCTCTCTGTCCCACTGCCCTCTCCCCCAGCCCTTGAGCCAGGCTTCCAACCGTCACTCCTCCTGATCCTCGGTGGAAACAGCCTCATAAACAGATGAAATTCACTGTTGCTGGGGCAGCACAGCCACGCCCTGATTTGGTCCTTTGTTTTTTCCATTTCTTTCCCTTTAAAAGTGGTTCCATTTCTTTTGGCTTCCGAGATCATTCCAGGAGGCTGAGTCCGAGGAAGCCCCTGGCCTGACCTGTGTGTATTAGGGGGTACTTTGGGTTCCTACTGCCTCATCGCGTGTTAGGACGACGGACGGCACCGCCTTGTGGGATCCCCGGCTGCCCTGCTTTCTATTCAGCACTAGCAATGTGTGCAGCAAAAGCGACAAATGACTTGATTTATCCTGTAGAGAGGGGCTTCCAGGTGGCACTGGAGCAGCCCAGAGCCCCCGCCGGCGACTCATGGCCCATGGTGCCATGTATGTGCCCCAGGATGCATTTCTACTCAGAGCTTACAGTGCTGGGGACCCCCAGCCACCTCAGGATCGAGGATGTCACAGTGGGGCCCGGGGGACCACGTGGGTCAGTGCTCCTTGACCGCTCCCCCTTCCCAGAGGTTGGACATTACTTTTTGGGTTACACCCAGCGATGCTCAGGGGTTACTCCTGCCTCTGTACTCAGGAATCACTCCTGGCAGTGCTTGGGGGACCATATGGGATGCCAGGGATTGAACCCGAGTTGGCCATGTGCAAGGCAAACGCCCTACCCGCTATGCTATTGCTCCGGCCCCGGACATTTTTATTACCAACTGCTGGTTGGGTCAGAGACGCATTCTCTGTGTATCCTGGTCCCCGGCAGTTTTCTCTCGGGACCGTCTTGGGCAGCTGAACCGCTCAGAGCCTTGGCCACGTGGGTGGCAACCACAGACACAGAGATCTTCCCTCTGAGCACGGCACGACACACGTGTTGTCGGCCTCATTTCATGGTCATCCTCCAAGGACGCTCATGAAAGGTCGGGCTTGTCTCTGAGCAGAGACCATCCCGTGCGAAGTCCTGGCCCTCCTGGCAGTGTCCATCTCAAATGACGGATCCTGGAGATCTTAGCAGCGTTGCTAGGCAGGATGGGCTGTCTCAGTAGTCGGGCTGGGAACAGTGAGACTGCCAGCTTTTCACTTGTTGTCAGAACATCATTCGTTGGTTTTTTTTAAGGTGCAGGTGTACAACTGGGTAAAAAGTTTCCGAATTCCCTTGCCATTTCATTCAGCCTTGGTCGAACCTCACGAGCAGGTGTTTGAACAGAACAGTAACCCATGCCTCAGTGAGCCCTCGGCTGGGAGCATGTGGTTGGACTTGAGGTTTCTGCCGTTATCTCTGTAGACTAATGGCGAGGCGAAAGGATGCCCTGGAAGGGACTGTAATGCGGTCGTCGCTGGGAACATGGGCTCCATGTGGGTCATGTAGAAGACGACTCTCTGTCTTCACTGCTCTCTCTCTCTCTCTCTCTCTCTCTCTCTCTCTCTCTCTCTCTCTCTCTATTTCTCTCTCTCCTCTCCACTTCCAGCAGTGCTCAGGGGTTACTCCTGGCTCTGCACTCAAGGGTCACTCCTGTTGGTGTTCAGGGGACCATTAGGGTGCTGAAGATCGAATCCAGGTCAGCCACATGCTAAGCAAATGGAGGCACACCCGTGACCCCACAGGAAACTTGCAGCATTTACACATTGAACACTGAGCGTTAATAGTTGTGACTGGAGCTCCACGTAGAATGATTTGTTGCAGATCTTATCGCAGAGGATTGATTCCTCACAGAGTATGTGAGCTAGACACAATTAAATATCTTTTCCATTATCTACATAGGATTAAGAAGCTATGCTTGGGGCCAAAGAGACAGTACAGGCGAATCTTTGCCATACACACCTGGGTTTGATCCCTGGCACTGCATGAGGTCCTCGAACACTGCTTAGGAGTGGCCCCTGAGCACTGAGGCAGGAGTAAGCCCTGAGTACTGCTCAGTGTGACTCAGAGACAAAGAAAGAAAAGCTCTGCTTTCAATGTTTTTGTCCCGGCTGCAGAGTAAAACTTCATCATTACTGGATTTTAGAGATCAATTTGCATCAGAGGGCTGGAGCAATAGCACAGTGGGGAGGGCGTTTGCCTTGCACGCGGCCAACCCGGGCTTGATCCCTGGCATCCCATATGGTCCCCCAAGCACCACCAGGAGTAATTCCTGAGTGCAGAGCCAGGAGGAACCATTGGGCATTGCCAGTTGTGACCAATAAAGGAAAAAAAAATGTATCAGAATTCCTCTTCTGGACCAAATAAACAGCACCTATTAGTGGAATCTTTTTATTGGTTTTGTTTGGGGGCCACACCCGGAAGTGCTTGGGCCTTGCTCCTGGCTCTGAGCTCAGGAATCTTTTCTGGCAGGGCTCATCGACCACAGCGGGTACCAGAAATTAAAGCCAGGAGAGCCACATGCACTGCCCACTGTGCGCTCGCTCTCTGATTCCTGTTCGAGGAATATTTTGAGTTACCCAAGAATGGAATCATTAGTCCTTCCAAATGAAATGACAGGCGACTAAAGGAGTGTTGATGACTGCTAAGGCAGCGGATAGTTTGCGAACGTCAGCCAGTGCACAGATCCAGGTTTTGAGAGAAGCCTGTGTGCTGTGCTGTAAGATCTTCTTGGTGTTAATCCTTCAAAAGACTGACGTGCCAAGTTAACACTTCAAGACTGAAAATCTCAAGGCTAACCCCAGGGGCTGAGAGATGGCACAGAAGTGTTTGGGGTCATTTCTGAGCACAGAGCCGGAGACCAAAGCCCCCACAAAATAAATTGAAAAAAGAACAACCATCTGTGCCTCTGTCTACCTCAGTATGCTTTAAGATCATGTTATTTTATTGTTTCTTATTGTAATCTGGCATGTATTTCAAGTTATGTGGCCTGAATGACATTACTTTTTTTTTTTTACTTTTTTTGCTTTTTTGGGTCACACCCAGTGATGCTCAGGGGTTACTCCTGGCTCTGCACTCACGAATTACGCCTGGTGGTTCTCAGGGAACCATATGGGATGTCTGGGATCAAACCCAGGTCCATTGCGTGCAAGGCAAACGCCCTACCTGCTATGCTAATTCTCCAGCCTCCTGAATGACATTACTTTTTTTTTTTTCTTTTTGGATCACACCCAGTAACGCTCAAGGGTTCCTCCTGGCTCTGCACTCAGGAATTACTCCTGGCGGTGCTTGGGGGACCATATGGGATGCTGGGAATCGAACCCAGGTCGGACGCGTGCAAGGCAAACGCCCTACCCGCTGTGCTATTGCTCCAGCCCCATGACATTACTTTTAATCCTACTTTTTAGTTTAGAATTCATTTTATGGAGCTGTATGTAATATTTGTGGTAGGTATCTGGTGGGAAGGTATAACATGGTTATCAAGTGATCACATAATACTTATGACCATTTTTTTTTAACCTGTGTTGTTCAGGTTGGTTTGACTACCACAAATGCAGAACTAAGAGGATTCACAGACCAGAATCTCAGCCCAACAAAAGGTAAGGCCAGTTGAGTATACGTGTTCCACGATGAGCGTGTATGAAAGTTCTGAGGGGCGGAGAGAGCTTTCTCGCCATCTCTCTGTGGCACTGTGGCAGCTGGCGCTTTTCCAGCTTCCTTGATATCCGAGTCCTTCTTAGTGGTTATGGAATCACGGTAAAAAGCACATAAGTATTTAATATTTGTATTTGCTAGTTATTTTTCTGTGTCAAATACCCTTTTATGGGGGAAATGATTTTGCCAGGATTCTGACCTTGATGCACAATTCTCGGAGGATATTGTGGACATTGCAGTGTCTTTTCATCTGCATCTTTCAACAGTGTCTTTCCGTAGGGAGAGAGAAAACAAACTGAAACGTACGTGCCTGAGCTGATCTCTTGGCTTACATACTCTGCTGGGGGAGAGAGCTATGGATTAAATAAATTTTAAAAAAATTTTACCTTATAGATAAAATTGTCCGTGAGATTATTAGCGACCTAAGCTGGATAACCTTATGGTAACCTTATGCGGTGGGGGGGTGGGGTGTGAGTCATTCTCTCTTCCTTACTTTCTGTTTGGAATTTTCTAGTATGAAAGGCAGGAAGAGGGCTGGGGAGATGGTGCCAACCGCTTGAGTGCATGTTTGGCATATGGGAGCCCAGGGTTGAATCCTGACACCAAATGGTCCCAGGAGCTTTCTCAAGCAAGCAGCAGCCAGAAGTAGCCCCCTAAAACTCACTGGGTGTGACCAAAAAAAATGAAAGGGGGCTGGAGAGATAGGCTATCGGGTAGGGCGCCTGCAGAGAGAAATCTATCTTTCTGTCCCCTCCCCCACAAATCTAGCTTAATATTAGCACTGTAGCACTGTTCTCCCGTTGTTCATCGATTTGCTCGAGCGGGCACCAGTAACGTCTCCATTGTGAGACTTGTTGTTACTGTTTTTGGCATATCAAATATGCCATGGGGAGCTTGCCAGGCTCTGCCGGGTAGGCAGGATACTCTCAGTAGCTTGCCAGGCTCTCTGAGAGGGATGGAGGAATCGAACTCGGGTCAGCCATGTGCAGGGCAAACACCCTACCTGCTCTCGCTTACTATTAATAAAAATTATTCCAAGAGTTTAAACAGGTATGATGAAGCAATTAAAGACATTGTATTTTTTTTTCTTTTTGGGGCCACACCCAGTGATGCTCAGGGGTTACTCCTGGCTCTGCACTCAGGAATTACTCCTGGCGGTGCTTGGGGCATCTTATGGGATATCGAGGATTGAACCCGGGTTTGCCCTGTGCAGGGCAAACACCCTCCCCGCTGTACTATCGCTCCGGCCCTTACAGACATTCTTCAAATGTTCATGATTCTCTTTTTTTGCCTCGGAGTAAACCCTGAGTACCCTGGCTGTGGTCACCAAACCAAAAACATTTTGCTTGCGGGAGAGACACTGTTGACCCCAGATCGGCCGCGTGGAAAGCTAGCGCCTGCAGCATCCTACCCGCTGTGCTGTCGCTCTCGTGTCATCTTTCTGATGGCCAAATGTCATGTGTATGTACGCCTCTGTCGCGCCATGTGTGGTCCATTTCCAGGCGGGCAGAAGCATGTAACACTTGGAGAGCATAAGAGTGCCTGGGTCGTTTTAAATGGAATCATTGGAATCACTGGAGTGGAATCACTGGATCGTGGGGTTCTTCTGTTTGGGGTTGGAGGGGCTCCCAAGTGGTACTCAGGAGAACAGAAGTCTCCGCTGATGACTCTCAGTCCAGTGGGCCGACAGTTCCATGCAAAGGCCCTGTGGTGCGGCGTGGCTTGGGCCCTCCCTGCAGTGCTGGGGATCTCCCTGGCCATCTCGGCTGTGCTGGGGGCTTCTGGGACTGTCCCCAGAGAGACTGGGGGACCATGGGGCGCCAGGGAGCAAACCCGGGTTGGGCACATGCTATCAGCTGTTGTGCTGTCTGCACCTGCAGGCAGAGAATCATGGGGACTGGCCCCAAGGCCGCTGGGTTAGGACTTGGGAATCCCCCCACCATAAAAAAAAAAAAACAAGAAAAACACAAAGCCCCTCGGAGGTGGGACTGGAGAGATGGTAGAGCAGGAAAGCTTGTCTTGCATGCAGCTGACCGGAGCTTGATCCCCAGGACGCCATAGAATCCCCCAAATGCTGTCAGGAGTGATCCCAGAGGGGCTGGAATGATAGCACAGTGGGGAGAGTGTTTGCCTTGCACGTGGCCGACCCGGGTTTGATTCCCAGCATCCCATATGGCTCCCCAAGCACTGCCAGGAGTAATTCCTGAGTGTAGAGCCAGGAGTAACCTCTGAGCATCATGGGGGTGACCGAAAAAAAAAAAAGGCAAAAAAAAGTGATCCCAGAGTACAGAGACAGAAGTAAGCCCCGAGCATGGTCAGGTCCCCATGCCCCCTGCCACCAAAAAATCCCCAAAACACCATATATACACACCCTTCCAAAAATGCCCAGAGGTGTCGTTACTCCATCATTTCCTGCCTCGAACCTTAGACTCTAGACCTGGCCCCTTTGCCCGGAGATTGGCCCTTTGTCCCTGGGCCACACCACACGGATCCCCTCTGTTCGGATCACGGGCTGCCCTGAGGGGCACCCGCCACGTTAGCTGCTCTGGTCTGTGGCGCCACTGGCCGCGGCTCTGGGGAAGTTAGAAATGTTGGTTTCCTTCTTCCTCGCAGCGAGAGCCCGCCACGGTCCGATGGGGGAGGTAAACCTGGCAGATGCGGAGGTCGCCCTTCCTCGTTGCTCTCAGCTCCGGGCATTGCGTGCCTTCTCTGGTGTGGTTGTGTGTGTGTGTGTGTGTGTGTGTGTGTGTGTTTATTCTTTGGCCTTCACTGAGTTTCTAAAGTTCCTTCCAGTCCCTAAACTTGAGAGCATTTCGGCTTTTCGTGCCTGCCCCTCGCCGGCCTGTTTTCCCTTCTGGAATTCGGAGTCACGCCTGTAAGATCTTTGGACCCCGTCCCGCAGTTCCTGGGGCTGTTTCCTTCCAAACTCTTTGCTCTTGCACGTTTCATGTTGGAATTTTCCTGCCTAAGTATCATCAGTTTGGCTTATTACTTCATCTTATCGCTTTGCTATGTCATCTCCCCCCCCCCCCCCGACTGCATTTTTCTTCAGTTATTGAAGTTCTACTTGGTTCACTTTCTCTACAGATAACTCCTGTCCTCTGGGTCATTGCTAACCTCTTCCTTTACCTCCTAGGGCAGTTGGACTGCTCTAAAATTCTTCTTTGTTGTGACAGTACCACAGGGAGGGCACTTGCCTTTCACACAGCCGAACCGGGTTCAATTGCCACCATCCCATACAGTCCCCCAAGCACTGCCAGGAGTGATCCCTGAGTCCCATCCCGTGTGACCAAAAATAAAGAAATACAATGATGAAATCAAGTTCTTCTGTTGGTTTCAACATCCCATCATTCTGGAACCAAATTAATTGATTACTTCCCCCAGGAAAAGGAGTCAAGGTCTTCCCTTAATTCCTTCATATGTCAAGTCATTTTGTTGTGGGTTTGTTTGTTTGTTTGTTGTTTTTTGGGTCACATCGGGGGTTTCCCCTGGCTCTGCGTTCAGGAATTACTCCTGGTGGTGCTCAGGGAACCATATGGGATTCTGGGGGGTTGGCTGTGTGCAAGGCAAATGCCCTGCCCACTGTGCTATTGTTCCGGCCCCTGTCAAGTTGTTTTGGCTCTGCCCTGGATTTTGGGAGTCGCTGTGAGGTCTGGTTTGGCTTATTTCCCCTCCAGAGTGTTGTTCTTTCGATTTGAGTGGGCATTTTACTTCACTGAACTCGTGCCGCCATGCAGTGGCAACTCAGATACTTTGGGGGGTTGGAGGTATTAGGAGATACGCCTGGCAGTGCTCAGGGCTTACTCCCAGCGGTGCTCAGGCGACCATGGGGTGCTGGGGATCGACCCTGGGGCCACCACTTGCAGGACAAACACTCTCCCCGCTCTCCTCTCTCCAACAACTCAAGTCGTAATTTAGTTTCCAATACTTCTCCAGGCCGCAGATAGTCTGACAGGTGAGTGGAGGCTTTGCAGGCAGGAGAACTCCTTGGGTCGCTGGCCCCTGAGCCCTGCTGTGATCCTCTGCTGGGGGTGAGGGACATGGGCGGTCAGGTCACTCAGTGCCCAGTTCCTCTCCTTCCCTCGGGCAGAGCCAGTGTGGGGCGGGAGGATGGTTTCTCGAACTCTGTAGGATCCTTGGGCAGCCTCGGTCTGTCCTGTCTCCGTTTATTTAGTCTGTCCTCTGTGGTTCAGGGACGCTTCACGGGTGCTCTGGCTTTTTGTTTTGTTCAAATGGCCCCACCGTGGCCTTTGGGGGGCTTCCATTGGGGTATCTGTGGCCTCTGGACAATCCTCCTCATTGTAGCTGTGCTTTATTTATTTGTTTGTTTATTTAACTGCTTTGGTGGGTGGGGAAGGTGGGGTCGACGCCCAGAGGCATGCAGGGCTGACTCTGTGCTCTGTGCTGGGGGCACTGGGTGTGGTGCTTGAGGACCAAGCCAGAGTGGGCTGGTCCAAGGCACCGTGTGTCATCTTACCTCTCCCATCCCGTCCTGTACTTTCCTCTCCCCCACCCTCTCTATTGAAACACCTGGTTTACAAAGTTGCTTGTGACGATTTGCTACAGGCAGTCCCTATTCCACCCCAAGTCCCACACCCCCATCACCTTCCTTCCACCTTTGCCTCCATTTCTCCAATCCTCCTCAAGCCTGTCCTCAGTAGCCTCCCCCTCTCTCTCTCTATATATATACATATATATCAAATTGTGTGTGTATATATATATATATATATACACACACATACTCACTGTCACTGTGATTTGCTCGAGTGGGCCCAGTAACGTCTCCATTTTGATACTTCTTATTACTGTGTTTGGCATATCGAATACATCACAGGTACCTTGCCAGGCTTTGGCGTGTGGGCAAGATACTCTCGGTAGCTTGCCGGGCTCTCCAAGAGGGGCGGAGGAATCGAACCCGGCTCGACCTGACTGGCTGCGCACAAAG